CCCTGGACCCGGTGGAATGGAAATGGACGACCCGAATAAGGAAAGGCAGGAGCCACACCAAATCATTGTACAACCTTACAGTCAAATCCACCTACAGACTTTTGAGACCAAGGATCAATCTTAGGGACCAGATAGAGGAGCGGTGGCAAAAACACTTGAATATCAGTAAAGAGGCGCTTAGGTCGATCAAGTGGTTTGGCATGGCAAAAACGAAACCTGCCAAGTTTGCCTTGCTTCAATGACAGATAGAGCATTGCTGCCTACCAACCAACAACTGGCTAATAGACAGAACGTCTCTAGAACAAAAAGGACAGGCCTTGCCTTGGTGTAAGCTGTGCACAAACGCATTCCCATCCAGAAAACGCCCAGAGACAATTGAACACATATTCTTACAATGCCCGGGCGCACGCTGGTTATGGAGATGGTGGGACAGAATCTGGAACCAATTAGAAACAAAAACAGCGTGGCCCTGGGACTGGCGGACCCTGCTGTGCGAGGCATGGTCTGGGGAGCAGACTGATCCCCCCGATGAATTTACAATCAATCTGTTCAAACTGGGAGGGAGGGCAGTGCTCTGGGCACTGTGGAGAAGATGAGCTGGAAGGAGCGAGATTAGAAGGACCCGAATTTACAGAAAGCGTGCAGCTGCAGATCCAAATCGAGATAACGGAAAAATGGGAGGATGTCCAGAGCACGCATTCGTTCCCTTGACAGAAAAAAAGATATTGAACAAAGAATTCAAGAATTTTCCCTAAGATGGCTGGAGGGGACCACCGGTGGGAAGATAGGGAAGGTGGAATGGAAAGGGGCACAACTGGATGTCGGGGAGGACAATGGGAGGACGAAAATAGTAAAGGACTACCGGCTGATATTTCACAATTGGACCGACATTGATCCAGCGATAACACTGAAATCTCCAGACAACTTTCCCGATTTCTTCCCCCCCCCACTCAATTGCCTAGTTGGAATGCAGTGGTATGGCATGGATGGCATGAATGGATGATTCTGGGAACAACAGGGCAACCTCTATAATCCCATATACAGATCAGCTGCAAGAGCCAACAGTTCAGACATAGAAGGGAGCTAGGAAGTAGTGAGAATATCTAGCGCCCAAACAGGGTGAAGAGGCTCCGACGAGTGGCAGGTGTATTCTCAGCTTGTCTCAGTTGTTCAGAAACCTTGCTCAGTCAATCCCCTGAACCTCAGGGCAATCAATGCTGGCAAGGTCCCCCCCACTGGAAATTCTTCTGATCGAATCTTGTACATGGGACGCTGGACCCGTTTTCCAACAGGTGATGCTCCCCACCAATAGATGGAGCCTCCCCCCGCGTGGTAGTGGTGACTGCTCTTATCACCACCACTATCACTAGGGATGTGTTTGTTAAAAAAAAAAAAAAAAAAAAAAAAAAGGCCATGTGCCTGACTGAACTGCTAGAAAAAGCCAGCCCGAGTTTCAAACTGCTAAACGCAGTTTCAAATACAATTGAAACTCGGGCCCTGACTAAACTGCTAAAACGCAGTTTCAAATGCAATTACAAACTGTAACCATGACTGCGCCGTAGTTTTCTCATTTTTTATTTTGTTTTCTGATTTTCTTTTAGTATGTGAAAAAAAAAATAAAAAACATTTATTTCATATTTTGTTTTTGCTTTTTTTTTCATTGTGTTTATGTTTTTTTAATTTAAAATATAGTCAAAGCTCAAAAAATAAAAATAAAAATATAAGGTTGTAGACCTAAAAACGATCTACAACCGTATATTTTTTGCTTTGTTTTTTTGATAATTTTTAGTCCACAAAAAATATTTGCGGGTCCCGATAAAACCCGTTGCTTTAGGACCCGCGAATTCAACAGCCGTTCAATCATTCAACACCAAATCAACGGAATTTAACGCCAAATCAACTGAATTTAACGGTCGTTGAATCATTCAAAACGAAATCCGCGTTGAATCCAATTTCGGACACACATGTCGAGCGCATCAGCTCCCGCCTTTTTTGCAAAAGGTAAGAATCCTCCGGCCATGTCACGCAAGAGTTAAACAAAATTAAATAGAGACAACTTGGGAGCGGCGAAGGGACGATGCGACCTCACCCGTCTCAGCGGCTTGCGGGATTATTTGCGTCGCTCTCTAGTTGTCTCTATTTTGTTTTGTTTAACTCCTGGGGCAAGGTCCCAGTAGCAACAGGATAGAATAAAAACGAGTTTGTGGGATAGTTGAGTGACCCAAATCCTGCCGTGTAGTACTCGTGATCCCACGATCAGTGTTTTACATGTATTACCCGAAAAAGTAAGGAGATCTTTGTTCCCCTCCTCCTCTCCTTAACACTGGGCATGCCCGTGCAAAGAAAGTTTCCCGCCATAATCTTTTCAATCGGTTGGAGGTGTGGCCAACCCCAAAAGAGTGTGGGGTCGCTCATAGGCCCACTGGATAGAAGATTTTCAGTATTTAACTTGTTGTTGTGCAATTATCTCATTGGGTAGAACCCTTCTTCAATCACGGAGTATATGGAGGGTGTCAGGATCACTGTTGGCATAAGTGAAGTTCAGTCCAGAAAATGTGGCGGTTACTTTGTTCACTATTGTTGCAACCACCACCATCAGATCATTTGTGATCTGATGACTAGGAAGCACTCTGTCGTGATTTCCGGTGGGAGGTCTCTGTATCTTTTTTTTCTTTTGCCTTTCTCATGTTTTCTCAGCCCAGAAATTCGTAATGAACCTATTAGCCCGCTACCACTCAGTGTCACACTGGATCGGCCACACTCCTATCTGACTGTTAATGGGACCTCACCCTTGTGTGACATGGTCGGGAGGGCTCTCGCCTTTTTTGACTGCCGAGACGGGCGAGGTCGTGTCGTCCCTTCGCCGCTCCTTTTTTTTTTTTTTTTTTTTTTTTTTTTTTTTTTTTTTTTAAACACCCCTTCATGTGCTAGTGCTGCTGATAGGAGCAGGCAGCACTAGCACCGGAGGGGAGGCTCCATCTATTGGTGGGGAGCGTCACCTGCTGGAAACCGAGTCCAGCGTCCCATTTTACAAAGAGAAAATTAGTTTGGAAATTCTGGGACCAATGACTATGAATGACTGTGAGACCTGCCAGCATTGATTGCCTTGCAGAATCAGGGGATTAACTGAGCAGGCTTCGCCGCGCTCAAGTTGTCTTTATTTTATTTTGTTTAACTCTCGCGTGACATGGCCGGGAGGGCTCTTGCCTTTTGCAAAAAAGGCAGGAGCCGATGCGCTTGACAACGGTCCAATACATTGGTGATAAGGGTACATTGTGTTGGGGAAAGACGGTAGGCAAGGGAAAGAAAAGCAGGGGTAGGTATGTGATGGTGCTCGGGGTACGAGTGTTCAAAATGAATACAAATGTCGAATCAAAGATTCCTATACAACATACACAATGTACACAATATTCAGAGCATAGTACACATAAAGTGCACAAGTACAACAACACAAATCCTCCGGCGGGTATGGCACCCCGACCGGTTTCGACCGTCGCCACGCGGTCTCCTCAGGGGGAATCCACCTGCGTCTCCCTAAACTACGCTGTCTTCCCCAATCCCACCTCCGTCTCTGTCACTCCAACCATTTCCGGAAACGGTGGAGCGCTTTGACGTTTGACCCAGAAAAGGACCTTCGAAAATGTAATCGGTGTACTTATATTCGACTGCGAGTCTATTCTTCGCCTACTCGTTCGGATTCGAACCTGGGTCTGATTGTACTAGGCCTCCACTACAACATGTCTAGCAAGTTCGCCCCATAGCGTCACCCCGCGCTTATCAAACCGCACTGGCCCGTGCTACAAACAGATTCAGATCCGAACACTACCCCTATCCTCATATCCAGTCAGCGCAAATCACATCACACTATTATTATCGAAACACAGAACCATGTTTGTACAAAAAAAATCTAAGAACCAATCAATGTCAAATTGAACATTCACACCACACCAAACAAGTCATCGTAAAGTCCTTAGTAAACCATAGCATACCTACTTGTGTACAATGTTGCATAACATCTAGTTCCATGTGTGTCAGGCCGAATCAACTCATTCGATCATGCACACCACTCCAAACAAACCTAGCTGTAGGATACACATCACAACACACAAATCCAATCCATGAATATGCCGCTCATAATAATTGCGCTATCTATCCTATAGAGTGTTGACTGATATCGGCGTTGTCTCCTTCTCGCGGTACTCCTACTCCGCTATTCTGCACACATCCGTCTTCATCGTTCATAACTCATCCATTTCCTTGTTGATTCCCATATCTCTCCTCGTCCTTTGCTGAATCTGTTCAGCATTCTCGAGACGAAATCATCTGGGTAGTCTTTCATCCTCAGCTCCCTGCTCAATGTAAGCACACATACCGGTATCTCCGACCGTATCGTTGTGTTGGCGTCCACCCTGTGCAGACAACTTGCCACAACCGCGCTCTTTTGTTGCTTGCTTCCCCACGACTTATAACTTTGACCGTTTTTAAACTCCAAAGTTTCCTTTTCCCAAATCGTCTTCTCGTGTTTTGACATCTGCACGCAACCGATGTGTGGATGTAACAACTCAACCCTCATTTCCAGTACCAGGAATTCCCATGTGCCCTGTCCGTCTGTCCGTTTCAGCGTCAGGTTACTCGGGTAACATCCTTCAAAGCTTTCTTGGATCATCCTCACCTTTGGACCTTCGCCTTGCTTCGAGCTGATGATAACAGTCACATCGTCCATCAACCGCATGCCGTAGACGCTACTTTTATCTTTGCCCAGACTTCTCAGAAACTTGAATTCTGAGTATGCACACAAGATGCACGCCAGCAGTGGGCTGGTGCTCTTACCCATCGGTATTCCGACTGTCTGTTGTAGGAGCACCCCTGTAGCATTGATGTATGTGTGGTGCAGATCAATCTTCATAAATTTCTTGATATCTTCCAACTTGAGAAGCCGCCAGTGGTCTGCTGCAGTGGTCTTACCAAACGTACATCCTCTACCCCGCGTGTTGACGCGTATCGTAGTCTGACTTTTGTTGATGTAGTGATCAATGATCCAGTTTACCGCATCCATGATATTGGAGTGCGGCAATCTGCTGAACATGTCTTTAACATCGTAAGACATGCATGTCAGTTGTTTGTCCTTGCCCGAGCCCTTCTCCAATCTTCGATTGATTTTCCCAATCGTGTCAGCCACCTCAGTAAATGCCAACTCGCTAGCAGATGGAACAACATGTGGTTAAGAGCTTTAGCCACACTTTTTCCCGTTCTTGCCGTTGGATCTGTGTACGATGGGCAGATTAGCCGATACCTGTCAATGTCTTTGTGTTTCGGCTGCACATACGCTGCACCAAACTTCCCCTTCATCTCCATTCTTGTGAATCTCCAAATACCTTTTTCTTTGAATGTACTTTGCATCTCCTTTTGAACTTCTGTCTCGTTCTTCATCACAATGCTGTACCCAGGACTTGTCACGAACATCGCCATCATCGCCTCATAGTATACATATGGGCACATAACCATCGCCTGTCCTTGATTCTTGTCCAGCGGTGTCAGTACCAGTAGCTTCAACCTCTCTTTAATCTCCCATACCACTGAGATGTCAAGGTAATCGCCTCCTTGTACTTCGTCTGTCATCATACAATGTGTGACCTCCTTAAGCTTCACTTGGACTACCTTATCTCCTCGATTTCTCCATGACCCAAACGCCGCTTCGATCTCTTTCATGAGCATACTCGGTATATCCGGATGTTGCGACTTGGGCACATTACCCGCGTTACATAGCATCGGATGCACGCCTTCCAATTCCTGTAAGCGAAAACATACGTGTTCCCCATCCCTTGGATAAGGAAGACCTGCGCATGTGCAGGTTGACACAGCCATGCGAGAGAATCTTCGCTGGTTGTGTATCAATTCCCCTACAGACGGGGTTTTCACCCATATTGTACGGACCTTGCTCCTAGTACGTTTTGCCATGCAGTCAGGCATGTTGAGTTTCTGAATCTTGTCGTTTACTACTTTCTTAACTTCCACCAGTTTGACCCTGTCATCGTATTTTACCCGTACAATCAGATATGCGCCCATCGACCATTGGCTCTTGTGGACTTTTGATGAAAGTCCTTTGTCGCCTTGTAGAGTCGGAATAGCGTATCGACCTCTTCTGCACCCAATAGTTATATCTTCGTCGGGTTACGGAGTACTTCGATCAAGCGCTTCTTGTCAGGGCCGATCATCTGTGTCCATCGCCATAGGTACCTGACGTCGATAACTGCCCCTGCGTCGAAGTGCGCTTTGCACTTGGCTAGTTTCGTCGACTCACCATTCACCACGACGGTGGAACGTCCGAAGGCATTCTTGATGCTTTTCCATCCGTCCGACCAGTTGTTACCCCCTGTTGAGTGCAGCTTGAAGGTGCGCTTTCCTTGCTTGTCGCAGTCATCCAGCACGCCGAAGATGCTTAGTTGCCATTCACTGTCTTCGTCTACTCGTACCCGTACCACATGCACGGGTCGTCCTTCCTTTACCTCCACCTCTGCCTTCTGTCGATTCCTCTTTTTTCGGCCTTTACGTGCTCTCTTCTTCCTCCTCGGCTTCTTTACCGCACCGCTAACATTAAGTACAGGTGACCATCTCCTAATGTATAATTGTTCCAACTGTACTAATTCGCGCGCTTCACACTCATCTATCGGCAGTATCGTGTACGTCCGGGTTCCAAACGTCCTTAGCCACCGATATAAGTGGGTGTTCTTCTCCAATCTTGTGTAGGCGGTCATGTGTTCACGCCATCGTACCTCCACATCCCTGTTCGTCTGTCCCACGTACAGAGCTCGGCATCGTGCAGATGAAAGCACGTATACTCCTTTGTGCTTATCTAAAAATCCAATACCGTGCTTCTTAAACAATTGTATCCATGACGACATGAATTTCGCAAGCCATCTAATTTTTCCCGTGATCCCCAATAGCACCATAACAGCTTGATACAATATCTCGATCTTTCTATCGTACTTAGACTGCTTGCAATGATTGATCAGCCAATGACATAGAGCCCATAGTTTCGAACTGCCAGAATCGGTTCACTCATCCTCTCCATCCTCACTTGCTTCATCGACACTATCCATGGTTTCGTGCACGTCTTCGACTTTCCCTTCTCCTTCTGTATCTGCTTCCCCGTAGGCTTCCTCTCCTCTCTTCTCCGTGATGTTAATCACGTCTATCACTTTATTTCCGTACTCCACCTCATCACGCTTGCACATTCGTTTCAGATCCTCTGCTTGGTACTCTGCGAGTACTCTCATATTCTCTCCTACGAACTTCGCACGCGCCGCTGATCCGATCTTTGTGGCAACCTTCGTCTTGGGAGTGCCCTTCCGGGGTGTATATCTTGTCGGCGTTTTTATGGTCTTCACCTTGTGCTGTAAGTCCTGCTTGTAGCTGCTTGCAGTTTGGTCACTAGCTTCACGGGTTTCACCCCCGTTTTTCTTGGCGTCCTCTTTGGAGGTGACGTGGCGAGCGGGCTGTCGCCGACCGGTCCATTCGGGCTTCACTTCCTCTTCTCTGATATCACGAGTCTCTCAGCTTTGTTACTCAATTCCTCCACTTCTCTCCCCCCCCAATCGCTGGTATATGAGCCAGCGGATCCTGATGGAGAAGTGGCCTGTTGCTTGCCTTTCAATATGTTTTGAAAGTCCTCCATATTCCTCCTCATCTGGTCCTGCATGTTCTCTTGGAACCCTCCTATGCACATGGCCACATGCATTCGCACAACTTTGGTGAACTCTAACTTCTCTTCCTCCTTCTTCTTTTTCGCTGTCTTTCTAGCCGCTCGCTCTTCTTTAGCTGCTCGCTCGACTTCCTTTGCCCTGCGTTCTTCTTCTTCTTTACGAGCCCGTTCCTCTCTCTCCAATTTCTTTCTCTCCTTTTCTTCTTTCTTCATGTTCTCCTTCTCGATGTATTCCTTGAAGCATGCAATGGAACTGGCTAGTCCTTCGACGGTCTTCTTTACTTCCTCGTCAACTTGCGAAATCGGTTTCGATCCGCTTGATGTGCTAGCGCCTCCCTTTGAAGCTCCTTCGTCGCTGCGCTTCCAGCATTGATTCTTGTAATGTCCCACCTCCCCACAACTGTAACAAGCTGGTGGACCCTGACGTCTGTAGTCGCTACTGCTGTGTGATCGTTCACCTCGATCATACCGATAGTCATCCTGGCTTCTTCCTCGGTATCTTGTCCTTGCTTCATCGCGTCTGTCGTGACGCCCGCGGTCGTTGATGTCCCAATGATCGCGACTCGATCCTCGTTGATTACAATCTCCCATCTTCTCGCGATCATAGCCTTCAGTGGTTCACCGACTATCGCGTCGGGTTACGAATTCCTCCTCACTCCTTCGCTTCATATCAGCTCAAACACTTACACGCTCACTCTCGCCCAGCAAACGTCTTCAGGCTGGTTCACGTGCGCAATACGTAGGTATGTGATGGTGCTCGGGGTACGAGTGTTCAAAATGAATACAAATTTCGAATCAGAGATTCATACACAGCATACACAATGTACACAGTATTCAGAGCATAGTACACCGAAAGTGCACAAGTGCAACAACACAAATCCTCCGGCGGGTATGGCACCCCGACCGGTTTCGACCGCCGCCACGCGGTCTTCTCAGGGGGAATCCACCTGCGTCTCCCTAAACTGCGTTGTCTTCCCCAATCCCACCTCCGTCTCTGTCACTCCGACCATTTCCGGAAACGGCGGAGCGCTTTGACGTCTGACCCAGAAAAGGACCTTCGAAAATGTAATCGGTGTACTTATATTTGACTGCGAGTCCATTCTTCGCCTACTCGTTCGGATTCGAACCTGGGTCTGATTGTACTAGGCCTCCACTACAACATGTCTAGCAAGTTCGCCCCATAGCGTCACCCCTGGCTTATCAAGCCGCACCGGCCCGTGCTACAAACAGATTCAGATCCGAACACTACCCCTATCCCTATATCCTACCGTCCTTTTTTTTTTTTTTTTT